TGAGAATAGGAGTAAGTGCAACTGGACGGTAGTCATTGAAGCAGGATGGAGACGGCTTCTTCGGGACTGGAATGATGGTGGTAGCTTTGAAGCATGTGGGGACAACAGCCTGACTTGGTGAGATGTTGAAAATGTCTGTGAAGACATCAGTGAGTTCCACTGCACAGTCTCTCAGTACACGCCCAGAAATGTTGTCAGGACCCGGACCTTTGCGTGCGCTGATCCTGCTGAGGGATCTCCTCACGCTGTCCGGGGACAGCGTCTTCACCTGGTCGCCAGGAGGAGGTGGAGTCTTCTGTGCAGTGGTGCTGACACACAAGATTATTAATTGTCTGAACTGTCTATCTCAGGAGTAAGCATTTCCTGAGCCACATTTCTATGCACAAAAAGAAAAACGATGTTGACATAAACTGAAAAAATAAATGCACCATCCACTAATACTAAGAACATGTTTCTATCTTATTGGTGTGTAAGAGCATTATTTTGTCTAAATAATTTTATTTTGAATTTTATTTTGAGGTATAAAAAGGATCTATTGCTAACATATCTTTATTACTACAAAATAAATAAGTAAACAAAAAAAACACTAAAACTGAAATATATCATTTTACATGCTACAAGCAAATTTAGGCATTATAATTTTCCAATGTACCAGTATGAAATATATATTTATGTATTTATTTTGAGGAACCACCAAAATAATAGGTCCAAGATCGCCTGAACGAGTTGGTCTTAGCCTGATTGCAAATGGACTCAACAAATCAAGCGGTATCATAATTCAGAATGGGAAATATGTTATATAAAAAGCAGCAGTGTCTGATTCAGTGAGTGAGCACATTAGTTAATGCAAATCCTAAAACGCTATGTAATTGCTCTTCTCACAAGAACGCTGTCCCAACGAAGCCTTGATCCCCACTGCATTACATGTTATAATTTCATTTTAAATATTATAATTTAAATATGATTATACCATATAATTATAATATTTAACATTATAATTTTTACAAATATATAAAAATATTTTATATAATTATAATATTTAAAATTATATACATATTTAAAATTATTTAAATTAAAGCCGTCATTCCCACTCTAACTGGTAAATATAATATTTATATGTAATTTATCATTTAGAGTGGGAATGATGGCTACATTCATGTTTGCGAATGTCACAACTAAAGATAACGCCACATTAAGCCTGCGGAACGAACTTGTCAATGCATCTTGATGACTGATGCAGAGGAACGTAAACAGGTGAACTCTGACCAATAAGTGGACAGTTTTACTCACATGTGACTTCCATAAACAAAGTTTGGTATGCTTTGCAATGGTGGCTTGTGAAAGCGAACCGAACCAAGAAGAAAATGCTGCATTGTAACAAATTAAGTACCTGTTTCGCAACAGCAAACAATGTACAGGTCTGAAAACACCCTAAAATTTAAAAATAAGGGAAATATGCACACACAATTATTTTATTGTTCAATACTGAAAAGAAAATCTCATAATACTGGTGGATAACCAACATGGTACCGATTTATCCACCCAGAACAATCTAGCATCACGGAGGCATGTTTTACATTGGGATTTTTAAAACAAAACCCCTAGAGTAAAAAAGTGGCAGTAGTGTTCTTAGGTTCCAGTACACACATTCCAAACTTCTGCTGAGCAGCCCTCTTAAACTCCACGTAAACCAATCTGACACTGCGAACAAACTGTGCGAGAAAACCGGCATGCTTTTAACAAACACATAAATAGCATCTTAACGGTCTCTGGCATGCTTTAGGGAAAGCTTAAAAGTTAAATCTGCCACCCATGCTTGAGTTATTGTGTTGAAGGCAGGCTTCTGGGAAGCAAAAGCTGCTTGCGTCACAAGAATGATGTGAACAAGGAAAGAAAACACCAAGCAATTTAAAGCTAACTTCATTCAGCCGGCTCGTAGTGTGAGGGTGGGACGTGTGTGAACGCATGTGTGGTCTGTGTAAACGCCTGCTGTGTCTACACCAATTTCACACGCTTGTCTGCGCAGAGAATGCAAGGGAGGCTGAGAGCAGAGTACACACTTTGTCAGTCACAACAGCTCTTGAAAACATCGAGACATATAGAGGCAATGTAACTTATCTTGTGTGCTTCAATCCTGCAAAGCACGCATTCCACAAAGAACAGAGTCACTGCTGACTTCCATACACACACTGAGGTCAAAGGTCTCCAAGGACATAATTAAATAAATGAAACACTAATGGCAATTACAGGTTTTAGTTTACATGGAAAACATATTTAGATAGAGAAGAAAACAGCAGTGCGGATAGAAAGCAACACATTGTGAGCAATAAGGAATGGGGGGTGGAGGTGGGTCGACCAATACTAAAGCTGCCTCCCATATTATCTTGACACTCCCCTAAACACCAGCTTCAAAACAACAGCTCTGTGCAGAGCTACATGCCTGTGAAAACCCATCCTGGTCCTTACTAATTACAATAATCAGCCAAGTTACTCAGATGGCAGGAAAAACAAGAAAATTATAAAGATATCAAAGCACATAAAGCTGAGGAGTTAAAACTGGCAATAAAAAGACCTGACTCACTGATCTACGTCTGTTACGATTAGATCGCTGTCGATGTGTCTGGCAGAAATGCATGAACAAAGATAACAAAAATCCTATCTGAGATCTAAAACCTTAAGCAATATTTAAAAAAAAAAAGTCTGTCTTCATTTACTTGCCCTCATGTCACTCCAAACATGACTTTCTTTCTTTCTCCAATGGATCACAAAAGTAGATGTTTCTATACACTAAAAGTAAAAGGGGACTAGGTCTGTCAAGCTCCAAAAAGGTACATGAAAGTAGTCCATATGATTCATGCACTATATTCCAAGTGTTCTGAAGCAGCACAATAGTTTTGTGTGAGGAACAGACCAAAATTTAAAATCATTCATTAAAAACACTGGTTTGAAAATCTTTCTTGACAGCCATGGCAGTGTTTCCCCAAGGTTTAGATTCCGTATTTTTCAGTTTACATTTTTCTGGACTCCTTTTTAATGGTTAAAAATAAATTGTATTCATCAAAAAGCATGTCTAATTAATTAAAATCATGAAACTTAAACAGTTTAACATCAATTTATTAAAAGTTTAACAAAAATTACATTTAGGGCCCAAAAACCAACCTCTAATTATTTGAAAGCATAAAAACAAGTTTCATTTATTCTTACAATAGCCTTATGATTTTTTTCCCTCAGAAATTCTGTGTATTTACATTTTTAAGGCATAAACCATTCATTTCATTTATCTTTTAATTAATGAAAATTAAACAAATTTTATTTTTTGGAAAATAAAGGGGATTTAATATTACAATTAAAACATTGAAGAAATATTGTATGATTATTCCTTCAAAATAAGGTTTTAATAATTTTAGTAGTAGTAGTAGTAGTAGTAGTAGTAATAGTAGTAGCCTATTACGTACATTCTACTGAACAATAGTAGGCTAATATATTTCTGCTGCAATGTCTTCAAGTTAGATCGAACTTTTATTTTGACGGGTTGCCGTGAATACCTTTACATTTCTGTGTGTGTATATGATATGAGGATAGTTTTACTCAAATTAAATGGTCAAATGCTCATGAAGTGACTCTCAGAGCAGTTCTGGAGATGTTGTTCATGTAACGTTATTTATGTCCTCATTAGTGAGACGACAGACGTTAATATCACCGGAAGCGCCATGCGCGCTTCAGTACGAGTAGTACACAAAACCGCGTGTCTGTGCCATTCATTAACACATAGACATGCAGAATTCATATTTAAATAGTCGTTTTGTGGCTTAATATTTACAAATACAGGTGCATCTCAATAAATTAGAATGTCTTAGAAAAGTTCATTTCAGTAATTCAACTCAAATTGTGAAACTCGTGTATTAAATAAATTCAATGCACACAGACTGAAGTGGGAGTGGGAGTGTGCTCACTTGTGTGTGCGCGCATGTTTGTTTGTGTGTGCGCATCGGGGTGGAACTCCGCTGTGCGCGATATAGAGAGCG